ACAAAATAATAAATAAAATACTTAGGCGTAGAAGTGCAAAGATAAAGTATAATTCTATTGTAAACAATTATACTGAACTGATTTTTAAACATTTTGGGAGAAATTTTTTGTCATGCACTGCATGACCTGCATGACCGCTGGCTTCGCCACTGGGGGCCCTCGCCATTGTTCATGGCGCTTTATTATACCCGAATATCTCTACAGAAACGTGTCCGGATCCATCAAAAAGTACTAATGCAAGGGTCAGTGGAAATGAATTTTACAACGGCAAGGAGGTGGAATTTGTTTGCCAAAAAGATTATGTTGTAATTCCAAAAGAATCGAGGAAATTAAAGTGTGAAAAAGGAAGATGGAAAGGCATAATTCCATCGTGTAAAGGTACGAGATATAATTGCATGCCTGTATGCAATAAATTTTCTTTATTCTAAGATGTATACTGCATGTGTACAATTCTCAAATTTTCGGGGGTTTTTTCATATTTCAATTCAACAATAAAGGGGCTACATTACTTTTGCCCAAACACGAATTTATATCACCAGATCTATAGCTAGCATTAGAAACATTACTCATTAGTCTGGTGTTATGCGTTGCGAAAAAAATTGGTTCGTTCCTGTAAAAAAATAATTAACAGTGACAATGCAGTATATTGTACTGTTTCTGACTTGAAAGCCAGAAAGATGATACGATGGATAATCTTAAGTGAATTATTCCTCACTACTGACTAATACTCTCTCTAATATTCGTTGGCATTTTGTATTACGAAATAACGGTTAAATGCTGTATCCTTGATCATGCACTGAAAAAGTTCAGCTGAACAACTTAAAAATATTGCGGTGACACTAGCAATATCGTTCCGTAATGAGGAAGTGTTCGGGCGCAAAGAATGGATAAGTGCAATTATGAAATTTATGTCGTCGCACTCCTGCAGGAAGACAATTGATGAAGTTCTTAGTAAAAAAATATGTAAACCTCGGGCAATTTCCAGCTGCCGATCAGGCTAGATTCAAAGTTTTGTAATTTTGTAGATTTTCCATAGATTTCAACTTTCCAAATTAACCTTTATTACAGCGTCATGCCCAGCTATGTCAAAAATACCGAACGGTGCTTTAAATAGCAGAAGTCGAACACATGGTTCATTTATTCATTTCGTGTGCAATGGTGGCTACCAGTTGATTGGCGCATCCAATGCTACCTGCAAAGATGGAAGATGGTCCGAAAAATTACCACAGTGTACAGGTGTGTAGCTTACACGATTTTTATATTACTATCTAGCAGCAACATAAATAAAAATATTTTCAATGCATGCAATATATATGCATGCTCTGACCTAATACTTAATGTGAGAAGGGAATTTTAGTAGTTGAGGTAATGATGAAGTAGGACATGCCTATCGTAAAACGTACAAATGTATTTTCCATAATATAGCATATTTTATACTTATAGCCATTTGCAGAAAAATATTTTCCATTAAAAACGGCAAAGTCATTGAAAGTGGAACGTTGGAAGGGGATGAAATACACTTCATTTGCAACGAAAATTATCTCTTGGTTGGAGAGAATGTTCTAAGATGTACAAATAATGGAAGATGGAATGCTTCGGAACCAAAATGCAAAGGTGATCAAAAGTCTATATAACATAAAGCTTCCACAAATCTATTCAACGTCCACTCTGAATTATTTATATAATTTACATTGTGGTATTTCATTGTTAGTCAATGCAATTTAAGGCAACTCTGTCAACCTTGAAGAACGTGTGGGGCAAAACGAGTATACCCTACCCACTTTCGGGATATTTACATGATATCGAGCTTATAAGCTAGCGACGTTTTTTCAGCATGAGTTCCACCTTTGAATTTACTATATGAGTAAATTCTTAAACACGTCCGAATTTATCATTATGATAAATTCGCGGCAAATTTTGAATTTATCATAATAATAAATTCGCGGCACCTAACATTAACCCCAACCCAACCTTAACCCCTAACCACTAACCCCTAACCACTAACCCCTAACCCCTAACCCCTAACCCCTAATTTTTTTATCTTTTTAAATTTTTTAAACTTTTTTTAAAATCTAACTTTTTAAACTTTTCTTGCTTTTCAATTTACTCATATAGTAAATTCAAAGGTGGAGCTCATGTTGCGTTTTTTGCAACAAGAACGGCATGAGTAACGTTAAAGACTGGGTCAAGAATGTTGGTTGACTGCTAATGTCAACAGTCGGCAACTTATATAACAGTCGGCAACTTGTATAGGAAATTACACGGTTCAAGAAGTATTAATGAAATATCGCACGCGTGTTTTGCGAAATATTTATAATACCGCGAGTACGTAGCACGAGCGGTATTATAAAGATTTCGCCAAACACAGGTGTGATTTTTCATTAATACTTCGAAACAAGTGTAATTTCCTATTTATATCATTTTATAGTTAATTTATACGTCGAACAATCAATGATAAGAAACATTGTATTTTATGTATTCAAGCGAGCACAGTCATACGGCGCCTCTGCATGTTGTCAATTTTGAGAGCACTTTCCGGACATTAATTTTCAATTCATACATGTAAAAACTGTGAATAATCTTTATTTCTTCTTTTTCTTTGTTATGAAAGCATCAATAAGAGCTCATTGTAAAATAAGAGCTCAGAAAATGTACATTTTCAACTAACTAAAGTTGTTTATTATCCGGTTGACATTTTGTATTTAATGCACGCATGATCCACTCGGGCTCGTTTCCGTGCCGATTAATCTTTAATCGGCACACCTGTGCGAGTAATGTTTAATCGGCACGGTTGTTAACCAATCCGAATCGAGTAAATTGACTAAATTAAATTATATTCGATTTGCTAATGCGCGTGCGTTGTAATGCAATGATGCACTATGGTATGGCATTTTTTGTTTTAACAGTCTCAGTCTCTGCTTTTCTAGCCAAAAAATGAAACAAAAATCTAGAGCTTGTAAAATACAATATTTAAGAAAAGCAAAAAGGAATAGACTGAAGATTTAATGTTTCACTGCAGTTTTTCTTTTCACTCGTTTAATTACTTATACATTAATATATTTATTTATTCATTTTACAAATAGATTGATTAACTCAATGGGTTGAGTAGAAATATACTTAATCAGCTGGGGCCGGTTAATCACTTTTTTATCACTATTTTTGTAGTTAAATAGTGACTAACTCTCTCTCACATAGGCGCTTCTTATTGGATGACATTTCCACTTAATTATGATTAACTTTAATCACTTTTTTATACAACCGGCGGTGCATTTTTTAAGTGTCCTTCAGTGGTGGGGCAAAACTGCCAAAGGGCTCATTCTCTCTTTGCCCTCCTCCCAGGATAGTATGCAATGAATCGCAGAAGGTGTGATCCGAGTACCGCAAGCAGGAGTTAGCTATGGTGGTCTGGGGGCATGCCCCCAGGAAATTCTTTAATTCTGTGTCTCTGAAATAGCATATCCTGCATTCTGCGAACACATTTAAAAAATCTCAGCTGCTCAAGAAAAGTTTTAATGTTGAAATTTCTAATAAATTGCATGATAAACATTCAACACAACATAACATAAGTTTAATTATTTTTATCAATAAAAATGAAGCAATCTGATATGTATGATCACCAACAAATTTTGTTTTTTAAACCTCTTTTCAGTGTTAAACTAAATTACTCCATACAGGTTTTGGGACCCTAGCTTTGAGGCAATAGGCCATATTTTTCCTGCAGTGGTGGGACAGAGGAAGGGGCCCAGTGGGGCAAATGCCCCACCAGTCCATGGTATTAAAAAATGAGTTGACAACTGGCCCCAGGAGTGAAGCCAGCTCTGTGAAATAACCAGTAGGCTAATCACAGCTGCATTAAGGCCAAAAATACCAAATAATACTTAAACTAGAAAATACATGCATGCAAAAACCCTCGCCTTATTGACAAAACATTCTGTTTTCTGAATATGGAGAATTGAAAGTAGTTGTCATGGTAAAACGATAATTTTAAGAATAGATTTGAAATTGAGAAATCACTCCCAAATATCACTTTTAATAACAAAATTATCAATTTCCCAAACATACATGCTAGGTATGTTATTATACGTAATATAAGCTTCAATTTAAGGTAAAACTTAACCACAAACGCTTTGCAAAACGTTTTAAAATGTTCTTAAAACTAATCGGCCTTCGAATTATCGGTAAACATTGAGTGTGAAACGAACTGATTTCAAATTTTCGCATGAAAATAACTTTGCTTTCCTCTTTATTTAAATTTTTTACTATACAAAAGAAAGAGTAATTAATAAAACTACACTGCAATTATATGCTGTCTTTTATCACTTATACTGTATACACAATGATATAGTATCACTATATATTAACTATCAGTTAGATATTCGCAGTATCGCCCACCACCATCAGTTACAAATATATCACTGAACTATAAAACAAACAATACATCAATACTTAAAACAAACTTACCTTCATTAACGTTGACGACTTTGCTCTATTCTCTTAGACGTTTTTAGAAGTTTTTTTGGCTCTCAGAAAGGTTTTGAAATTTACAGAATCTTGCAAAAAAGCGAAACATACAACTTCCAAGAAATGTTCGTTATTTCGTTGTCGTCAATGCAGTCGTTAGAATAAAATTTCAATTTGACCAATCAGTGTTCACTATTCACGACAGTCCGTTACATATTTTGAGATCAGTGAGGATAACCCATTGAACTATAAATAAACTGGAAGGCTAACTGCTATGATGAAGGCCTATGATTTGATGAAGCCAAAATAGTTTTTCTGAGTTATGAGCAGAAATACTTGATCCCAAACGTTGGGCTGTATATCAAATTGAAGCTATTGAAAATTGCTATTCGGTGAGCAGCTGGGAAATTTGTTGTCGCTGTGCAGAGAAATTGCTGGCGCACGCGATATTTTACAAAAATTCGAAGATTTGAAAAAACAACACGAGTGGAATTTCAACTTATGATTTTGCATTTTTAAGACGGCGATCAAGGAAATTAAATTGTTGGAAAAACTTCACTAACATCTCAAGTATGGAAAGCATCTACATTACCAGCAATTTAATTGTGGATTGATTCAAAATTCAGGCGATAAAGTTACATAGCTAGGAGTTGGCTTTTGTGCTCTTCGAATATCAGTTTTCATTCGCGGATTAGTCATTACCACAACTTGTTGGTCTCATGGGTGCCAAAATCGCCGATAAACGTAAACTACTAACCAAGAGCTATAAAACAAATAGCTTCTCAAAAAGATAAACTTTATTCAGTCAAAAGGATGAGGGTAAATAAACATGCTACTGCGTGATAGTGATTTCGAAGCAACTTTGTCACATATATTTTAAAAAGTGTGATTATGAATCAAATTTTGCTTTTGCAATCCCAAAAAGGTATGGAAATTGTTTAAATATTTAAGGTTTCCGTGTTTATAAAGTATTTTTTTGAGAAAAGTAAAAATTTTCCCGATAAAAAGCATAGTTTCTGCAGAAAACTGTTTTCTAATAGAGAAGATCCTGGGAGAGGGGATGTAGAAGCGTGGGCAGATAGCAAAAAACCTTGACGATTCCTCCAAAAAATTAATACCAAATTTTGTTTTGCCTTTGTTTGATATGTAATTTAAACAAGTTTTTTTACATCTAAAAATTGCCCCTACTGGTCAAAACGTGGATTATGTTCGCAGTATTGGCCATTTGTTTACTTTTGGGGATCAAAGTTTGAGGTGCAATTATTTTTAAAGTTTGCAAACTACCCAGCTAATCCCTCGCTGTTGTTTGCAGCCTTGAATGCTGATTAAAATTTAGTTTAGTCCACAAAAGTAGATCCTTTCAATGAAGGGAAATTCAAAATAGTATATTTGATTACTTTTACAGCACAGTCATTACATAGGTAGGGTGCAATACCACGCCAAATTGAAAAAAAATTTACCGATTCCTCCAAATTTAAAATCATATTTTTTTGCTCCCAAGGCACATAGGAAACCGAATTTAACAATAAATTTTGTTGAAAAATTGCCCCTTTGTGTCTAATTTCGCCTTGAAATGCGTGCGTTTACTGCTCTTGTATGAAGCAAGAGTTCGAAAACATTCAAAGTACTGTAAAATGTAATGAAATCGACAAGTTGACCTTGCCCTTGAGACCTTGTACTGCCTCAGCACTGAAATGTTTTTTGACAACTTTGACAACGATAATTTAGCAGTGTTTTGAATATTTTCCCTGTTTAACTAGTAGAACCGAACGTACAAGTGCATCAGAAGACTAAGCGAGAGTTTTGTGTAGAAATGCTCTGTTTACGGGAAGTTATTTTGCATTCGCAAGCGTCAACAAAAGCCGGCATTTTCACAGTTTCATGTTTGATTATTATAGCGATAGATAAAAGCTTTGAAAGTTCAATTGAAAACATTTTAAACCACGCGTATTTGTATAGTATATATGTTAGTTGTATTAACATTGAACTTCTTTCTGTTTAAACCCAAATTTGCACTTGTTTTGCGTTTGACAAGGCTGTCAAGCTCGCGACGATTGGCTTTTCAGCGAAAAGAAAAATATTTAAAAAATACAAAAACAACTGCAAAATGGCAAATTATCGGCAATTATATTTGTAGTTTTTCAATATTTCCCTTTTAGCTAAAGTCTTGAAATTTCTACACCAAATAGGGTTTTTCAATAGCTTCAATTTTATATATAGCTCAACGTTCAGTGTTGAGTATTTCTGCTCATAACTCAGAAAAACTAAAATGCACTGGCTTCAATCCCCCCCCCCCCTGAGTTAGCCTTCCAGTTTATTTATAGTTCAATGCATGTAACACACAGAGGCAAAATTTCTTATATGACAACTGCATGCAATATTGTAATAATCAAACCTGAATCAAACCCTGGTTGCAGACTAAGGTGAAAGGCTGTTTTGGGAGGGGGTGTGGTTCAAGGCAAAAATAGGAGGAGAGTGGGTTAGGTTTTAGGACTTGTGGCGCAAGTCTAACTTTCCATTTGTCGATTTGACCATAAAATATAGTGTTATAAGCATGTTACTGTATTATATAATTAATTAACGTATTATGTAAAATAGAGAGAGTTCTTATGTTATGAAAGTGGTTGATTTCCTTTTTATTATTTATTTAAAAAATTCCTGGTTTCTGATTGGCTAACAGCCAACTGTGAAATTGTCATATCAACTCAATGGCTAACCAAATATGGATTTTTCACATTCATATTAGCAAAATGACGTCAAAGAGTCAATATGAAAAAAATTTGGACGCGTTTGCGCCATATTACTATGACGACGAGAATCATATTGACTCGCTGACGCCATTGATATGACGCAACGACGGCTGCCGAAGGACTAAGGAATTGTTTTTTTCTTAATACAAATAAAATACAAATGTTTGTTTTGAATTTTTTAATTAAATAATAAAACAATTATTGAATTCGGTTTTCGCCCAATATGAAGAATTATCAAGCCCTCAGTTTGCCGGGGCTTGACAATTCTTCATATCGTGCTCAACCTCATTCAATAATTGTTAATTGTTGCCTTCTTGGTGTAGGAAATGTTTTTGCCGCCGTTCAATATATATATTAATTAAATATACATTGACTCGTTCAGTTTTAACTTTTATTTAAACCCAATGTAAAATACGTTAACAGTTCTATAAATCTTCTTGTCTCTCGTCTCGTTACTATTTGTTTTTCATAATGAAATATTGTCTCTCCAGTAGAATATATTTTCGCATCTCGCCTGATCGTCTCGCGCTCTTGTGTTTATGTTTTTTTCCCGATTGACAGTTCTAAAGTTCTATAAATTATTAACATGTGACGTCATTCTACGACATTGAGACCTTTTCATGCACAATTTAGTACCTTTGTGTACCTCCTGTCCTGTGAGAGCTATGAACAAGGGTATTATTTTTATAGTCACATGGAGTAGATTTTATTTCCCTTGATTTGGACTTTCCCCCCAACTGCTTCTCTATAAGCTAAATTAAGCTTTACTACAGGCTATAAACAGTGTCAAGATAGTAGGTTAGAGTGCATATCAGTCTATCAGTTCTAAACTGGTTTTTTTTCATATACCTGGTAGAAAGATAGTGCAGAACTGATAGCGCTAGCAAGCAGCTCAGTAGGCCATCTGCCATTTTCCAAGCAAAACACCTGTATGGCCGTCTACTGATTGTTCTACATGGACGAAGTGTTCATGTCCCTCTAACTGGACGAAGGTTCTCTAAAGAACAAAACAACCCTCTGAACACAAAAATAGACTAAATGAAATCTGTATTCTGGCAAACAATTGGCGTAGTAGTACGGCACGTTGTCTGAACAAAGTTTGAGGCGACGACATTTGAAACAAACATAACGTAACGTAACGTAACATATAATTTATTAGCGCCATTAAAATAAAAGTTACAAGAATGAAATATTAATAATTGAATTTAAACTGAGATGACACAGGTTATCTAAACTCAGGGAGGTTTACACTGCGATGGTGCCACCATGATGAAAGTATACTTTAATCAAGGAAACTTCCCTGTAGTCGTACTCGATGCATTAAATGCTCTATTATTGCTGTATAGGAGGATAATCCAAATGCTGCACTGGTATTTTTCTGGCAGCCATTGCATAAACAGGTATATTGTTCGTTGAAATTGTTGGTGCTAATTGTACTTGTCAGTATTACACAGGCATATGCACAGGCATATGCTGTCGTTTGGAAAATATCTTGAGAAATATATCCGATCAAAGAGAAATATATCCGTAATACATGATCGACTCATGAAGATTCAACCAATAGAGTGTTAAATAATACGAAATTATATTGATGCAAAATATTCATGATGAAAGCCACTTATATACAGTAGTTGAACTATATTTTGATAAACCATCACTATTTAACTACAAAATAGTGATTAAAAAAGTGATTAAGAGTTTTACAACCGGCCCCTGACATCTCTATTTTAGATTCGAGTTGAAGGTACAGTCAGTAAATTGAGTGTAGAAGAATCTGCAAAATATTTTCACTCTCGTCCTGTTGGTAGCCAGATTGGTGCGTGCGTGAGTCACCAAAGCTTACCTATACCAAGCAGACAGGTACAGCATGTATAAAATCTTCTCAGTAATTGTGGGTTGTCAGCGTAGGCTGCATGAATGTTGAAATATAAAGCCATTGTATATATATGTATGCTGGATCGTCGGCGTGAAAATACCGTAACCAACTGAGGTTAATGATGCAAAATATTCTGAAATTATATCTTGTCCTTTGTTTACTATATTCAGAATAAATAACAGTTTCAACTGACCTTTATTACATCTGTGTGGATACAACAATAAAGTAAATCGAATTTTTAAGAAAACACTATTAGCCATTTTACTCACACGTTTCTGGCACCTACTGTAGCTTTCTCCTTGCATCTCAAACTCATTAATAATTCATGAGTAAATTAGCCAACCATATTCACTTTATATGCATGATAATACTGGATACTTGGTGAAGTATATTGATCCAGCATTGGATCAAAATTAATTCAGTCCTTCGACTGGATCAAAATTATTTCACCTCACTTTAAGTAGTGATTATTTCGAATGATCGAGATGTCATTTCAAGTCCTCCAATTCGGACTGGACTAGATTTCAAGCCAGTCCTCTGCTTTGCCTTAATTGGACTTGTTCAAATTGCGCGGCCTTGCAATCTAGCCAAGTCCTCATATAGTCGGATTGAAATATAACATCTCATGTTGTTAGCTTCCCTACACTTTAAACATAATTTATTACAAAGCTATACAGTGATTAACAAAGTGATGTGAGGTTCAGTTCCTCCACAAGAGGGGGAAAAACCATATGATATAACCATATAAACTAAAACAATATGATTTAACTTTTTTTCTCATTCGATGAGTACATTGCATGATATGATCATGAATGATTGTATCTTAAGATGTTCTTTCATTCTATAAGGTGCTGATTGATAAAGAAAAAGAGTTAACGGAAAGGTTTGCAAAACTTGAGGAAATTCCAAAACCTGACTATTGGTAAGATACTTGAAGTTTTAAGATATGTATGTATTTTACATATATCTATACTGCTAATCGAGCAGGCATGCTTGCATTTTAAAATTCCATGGAAAAGAATAAATATCTACTGTTATCCACTGTTATTTAAAGCCAATGGCACTACACACGACACAAATCACGGTATAAAAAGTTAATGAGTTAATGAAAACCGTTTTGTGCTGCCGATTTGTTATGCGTTGCACTGAATTTAGGTTTTAGATAAATTTTGTATATATTGACTTTTGAATTCGTTTGCCAGTAGAGTAAAGCTCTGTTTTGTAAACGACGAATTTAATAGACCTTTGAAGTGCTTGCGTCACCTAATTTTCAAACTATGAATTATTGACCTAAAAGTATTCCACAATGCACTGTGCATTCCAGAAGCCCTATGTATTACAAATTGCGTGACGTAAGCTTAAGGTCTATTCAGACGTTTTTCAACAATTGTTCCTTTCTAATAACAGGGGTGGATATCTCGTACATCCAAGGATTATTGAATTTTGGCAAGGTCAAAGTAATAGATTACATGATAGAATACAGTTTCGAAGAGCAGGTTATGAACAGTTGGAAGGTCAATCTTTTGACACAAGTAATTGTTGGAATGATGGCGAGGATGGCTGGATTTATTCAAGATTATCACCATAACTATAAAGGGTCTCCCAGGGGTGGGGTCTGTGTTCCCCCATCGTTTTTCCTTTCTTCCCTTGATCCCCACAAATATTTCACCAATTTCCCTTGTTCCCCAGGGGCCGGTTGTTCAAAGGCGAGTTAACCCTATTACCCCAGCGGTGTATCTAGCTTGATAATGGGGGGGGTCCATATTCATATATTCGTGTTCACAGACATTAAAAACAATCGATTTCAAAAGAAAATAATAATGCAGAACACGAATATATAAATATGGAACCCCCCCCCCCCCAATTATCGAGTTGGCTACGCCGCTGGCTAACCCTGGGTTAAAATTAACCTGCTGCTTTGGTTTGTGTATTTCTGCATGTCTGTTTAATTCAAAACGTCAAGTAGTAAACTCCTATCGACCCAGCCAAGATTTCTGAAGAAACATTTCCAAATTTATAGACAAGCTGTCAGGACTTAGAAGTTTAGGTTAACCTATGGGTTAAGCTAATCGGCTTTCGAACAACCGGCCCCAGCAGTACTCCTACGCCGTACATGTTCCCTACATATTATAATTTTTTGGCTTTGTCCCCGTCTTCCCATTGCAAAATATGCCTTGTCCCCTATAACCTTGGGAGACCCTCAGTATAGAATTTCTTATTTCTTTGGATAATCAAATATGCAGGTAATGTTGTACTTATGAAATCCAATCACAAATCAAAATATATGTTCGTTGCCATTGGAAAAAGCTCGTCTTGATCAAATTTCTTTCAAAGTTGTTGAATATGATCTGGGGGTGTTTATACGAGCTGTATATAGGAATGAGTTAGTCCTATACTATTGACGAGATCTCTCTATTGACTACCCGAGATCTCGCCTAGTAGTTGACCCATTCACATATGCAATGTTCTTTCGTCAAAATCCAAGATCTGATTGGTTATGTCAGTGAATATATGCTAATGCGACCTTTTAAAAGCCTGGTTCTCACACTGGTCATAATTCATCGGCGATCTATTGTATTCTTTTCCGACAGACAAAGCATTTTATACAACAATGACCACAGACAATGGAAATCCCCGATTCTTACGACCAGTGTGAAGTTGTGAACCAGGCATAAACCGACCTATAAAGCAACTTATGCATGTATATGCAGATTATTTGTTACGATATGGATGAAAATAAAATCATTGCTTGCCTCGGCAAATCCCATTCCCGGGCCGGTATTATAGATGCACAGAAAGCGAGTATATCTAACTGGGGCCGGTTGTATAAAAAAGTGATTAAAGTTAATCATAGTTAAGTGGAAATGTCATCCAATAAGAAGCGCCTAGTTCAGAGTTAATCACTATTTAACTACAAAATAGTGATTAAAAAAGTAATTAAGAGTTTTATACAACCGGCCCCTGGAGTATAGAGTAAATACAGGGTGTCTCAAAAAAAACCAAAATCATTGAAATTGACGTATTGTTCGATATTCAATGCCCTAGCACTAAGTTAATCCCACGAGTGCATAAAAGATTGACATAACTGCTATAATGAATGGTAATACTCAGCGTAAACTTGTTATGTCAGGCATAAAGTACTAAACCCACGAATTTACGAAGCATTTTTAAATTCCCATGAGCAAACAAACGTTCACTTTACAAAGATATTTTAATTTTTTAAAGCAAATTAATCACCCTGTCAAAATCCTTTGTGTTACGGCATTGAAATTCGAACAATACGTTATTTCAATGATTTTGGGTTTTTTTGAGACACCCTGTACAGGGTGTCCCAAAAAACCCGAAAACTATTGAAATCATTTATTGTTAAAATTGAATGCCCTATCAAAAAGCTGAACGTAATGATGCGTAAAATATTGACAAGGTGCATGTATTAAAATTTAGTTAAGAACATCTCCTTGTAAAGTGCGCGATTTTCTGCTCTTGGGAATTTAAAGCAGCTTCTTAAATAGTTTCTTTATGCATAAAATTTACTTATGTCAATCATTTATGCACTTGTGGGAACCAACACAGTGCTTAGGCATTCAAATTCTAACAATTAAATTGTTATTGGTGATTTCAATAGTTTTCTTTTGGGACACCCTGTACTGTACATGATAACTTGAAACAGTATGTCAGTGTTTTGCCCAGATTGTGTTTGCCACGCATTTTTGGTACGGCATGGCTGTTCTATGCATCCAAATGCACAATCTGTTAGAATAGGTGGGTTTCACTAAGTGTTATACATGGGACCTGTTATAGTCGTATGAGCGACTACATAAACGGTAAATCGCGTACATTTGCAGCCAAACAGAAAATAACCGAAACACAACTGTGCGGTTTCCTCTTAGAGTCGTTTAAGTCCAAAAATAACATTGCATATACACTATATCCAATGACATTGCCAGTTGTTGCACCCTATTCTTGACGTGCTATGGCTTCTCCAGAGTCCACTCGACCCAGTCTTTCGCGCAATCTATGTATTGTCGAGATCTCGATTTTGTGTCTGTCCGGATTTCGTGTTTCCGGAGAAATAATTAAAGCTTCAGGACGTTTTTTTAAACGAGGGGGACGGGATGATTTTTCTCAGGATTTCAGTTAATACGAGCAATACGAGCTTATTTAGGAGCGATTGCAGAATATCCGTCTACTTATAAATCATGATACTAAGTGGATACGCAGATACGCAGTGAGTTGAATTAAAAATGACGTAATAATAAGATAGATGTAGTATTTATTGGATACGTGGTCGTGGATACTTATATATTGGATATTGGATACTTATATACGGAACTGTTACTATTACTTAGTTGTGTGTGATAGTTACCGATCATAGGATCTTGCGAAAAGGGTGCCAGGCATAATGTCTGGGGGCCGCCGGCACTCTCCCCCGTCGTTCGTTCGATACCGGTTGGTAAGCCACCTATTCACCCGACTCTGACGATAGCGTTGAGTTTAGCCGAAATCTAGCTTAAACGTAACATACGGCGTTCTAGCGGCTAGCACGAGACGAACTTGACCGGCCGATACGGGCTAGCAGAGTCGGGAAGTATGGACTGATGAGGCACTTCTAATTTACCATTCGATATAAAACAGATCCCCTAATTTACCAATCAATAGAATTGCGACTAAAAATGTTGGCAGTGTCTTTTGTGCTTTTTATCTAACTTATAAAAATCTAAAAATGTATCTTTACTACATTTTTATGTCATAGGAAATTTAAAAACAAGATTAAGTTTCACGCCAGGATACCAGCTATTTCGCCATTTTGTCTACTTTCTGGTCCGCCTTCATTTTTATTTTATTTATTTAAAAAATTACCCTAAGGCGGGTGTATTAACTATAAGAGGACACGGGGTCCCATACCATTTTAACCAATCAGATCACGACCCAAAAAAGCTCTTAATCTGATTGGCTAATTGAAGTAATCAGTTAATCCCACCAAGTTTGGAAGAGTTTTGGGTAACGAGTAGACTTTCCAAAGTCCGCGGTTCGTGGTTCCGTCTTTCTCAAGCGCTCCCTTCTTGCTACGCGCGGTCCCTAGCGAGCGACTTGGGCAAGACTAGGTAACGAGTTTCACAGCGAAAGAAACTGAGCCACGCTAAAATAAAATTAACTGTAACGGAAAAACGAAATTAACTCATGACAAAATAAAAAGTCACGGGTGAAATAAAGTTAATTTTTTAAACTCGTGGTTGGAGATCCATCCCGCGCATTCCCGCCATTCTTGTAACGTTTGAGACATAGATATAGGAGACCTAGATTGCTGACTCTAATGTTTTCTATAATGCACGCGCGTGACACTCATGAGCATTCAAAATGGCGGCTCAACCGGGCAAAAATCATAGAGCGAGATAGGGAAAAACCATGTTTTTTGCATTTTGCGTCGTCCTACAGCTTCCGATCCCGTTATATCACTTTATTTTGGAAAGAACTAACTGGTGTGAAGGTTTTGGATGAATATTTGTGCAATTTAAGTTTAATAAAGACGAAATAATCGATCGCTAAATGGGCCATTCCATTTATTAAGCGCACCCCCCCTATTGAGGGTTGTGGATATCCAGGGGGTCCAAAGAACAAAAATCCATTAGGAGAAAGAAATTTTTCAAGATATATCCATGGGTAAATATAAAAAAATCCAAATAAAAATCCAAATGGAAAACATTTAAACAAAATAAATCCATGGTAGTAAAAATATGAAATGTTAAAAAATCCATGGCAGTAAACAATTATTTGTACAGTAATAGTTAAAGGTGATCTGCAGTCCGATCTGCGCATATGCACAAAGGAGCCCACTTTTTATGATACAAACAGTTTAACTATGTTTTGGGTTCTTGAAAAGCCTGATTATTGTTTCTTGGTAATTTATTATACTCTAGAAGCTTGAAAATATAAATAGTTGTCGAATAAAGCTCAATATTTTGGACACAAAAATGTAAACAAAGGCTTTGTTTACATACGGACTGTAGAGCACCTTTAAAAATAAAATCCATGGTTCTAAATTGTACCTTGGTCTAAATAGTACTAAACACTAATGGGTTAGGATTTTTGGTAGGGAAGAATTGCCTGACTAAATTATTACATCATAAATTTTAAAAATTGTACTGGAGGTCTGGGGCAATCCTCTATCAAGTTAGCGAAAAACTTTTAATTTTTGTTACTATAGCAACAGCTTACAACTTACGCAGTGGTAGTTTTGGTCAGTTTTTTTTACTAACTGCCCAAGTAACTTGTCAGTTTGGCCCAAATTTCTCACTTTCCTGAGAAACGAGCCCCCCCCCACCTTGTATGCCCGTTTAACATTTGATTTTACTTGCTGTTGTAAAAGCCAACATGTTGCTTTGCACATCACTTGGCTTATAGTAAAAAGTGCATAAACTATCAAAGCTTGCCAACTCAGAAAATTGTGTGCACATGCAAATTGTATCATGCCTTTGCAATCAAATTTTTACCACAATAAATCCTGCATGCAGATTCATGTGAGAACATGTGGGCATGCGCTGACCATGTTTTAGAAAAAGGGACAACATTTGAATAACAAAACTGGGTCATTGACATGTTACTATTACAGTAAAATTAACTCAACATATATGGTTTTAAAAGAAAATTTAAAAGTTGTTAAACTACAGTTAAGAATTTTGTGAGAATATAATTCAAAGCATGTTTAATGAATAACTGGTGCCTCAGAGCTTGGGGCAGAGGGAATCCTCCTACCTTTTCATGATCCTAATAAATTGAGATGGACTATAAAACAGTGAAAAATTTACTGCAACATATTTTCCTGCAGCCCTTATTATACTTGAAGTGGCCCTACAGTCTTACTGTAGAATGTGTCCACAGCATTAGCTGTTTGGGCACAAAGTACAGTCAGCTGTACCCTGGATTCCAGAGCCTTCGACAGTAAATAATAAATTGAAATGTCGCGAAGGCTCTGGATCAACGGGGCGATTCTTTGATTAAGCCACGCCAATCACAAAACAGAATTAGTGGTTTTAGTACAGAATCTGTACTAAAACCACTAATTCTGTTTTGTGATTGGCGCGGCTTAATCAAAGAATCGCCCCGGGCGTTGAACCAGAGCCTTCGCGACATTTCAATTTATTATTTACTGTCGAAGGCTCTGGAATCCAGGGTAAGTCAGCTGTGTTGGTATGGTTGTAACTTGTAAATTTGACTGCACTTTGTCCCAGAAATAGTTAATTACAGTATTAAGTTATTCATTAAGTTCTGTTTTGAGTTTTGACAAAAATTTTTTCTTGCATCCCAAATTTTGTCTTAACGCGTCTTCTGCTTTATGCAGTTCTTTATAATGTTTACGATGAGCTTCTTGTTTCCTTTGCATCTTTTCGTGTCCACACTTGTCTTTATTGCCATTCATTTCAGGTAAATTTAGGCGACTTTTTTCCAATGCTTTTTTTGCCTTTTCAATGCGTTCGAGATTTTTTTGTACTGTTTTACTTTTAACTTTTCTTGAACTGGATATTTTTGTAACTAAATCTGGATCCCCGGATAGTATGTCGTCTATTTTGTTACTGATCTCCACGTGTTCGTTCTCTACCAAACAAGCTTTACTTAGCTTCCACTTTTCGTGCAGTAATTGACTGATTTTCCCTGCTTTCCAGTCATCGTAACACTCATTTTTACACAACTCCTCCGCCTTTTCATTCCAAAACAGTTTTCTTTGCTTTTCGATACCCGTGGCTTGTTCTATCTCACGCTCAGAAAAGACATGAACCTTTCTTGCAGACGCGGTGGGACACATCAATTTTGGCTTACTTGACACACCAAAGTATGTCGTCAGCGTGCTTTGTAGTTTTGCTTTCTTTGCTGGTTTTATCTCGGGTTTTACCAAGGTTACTGCATCAGAAAGTTCTGGTTCACCAAAGCTTTCAGCGGCTAGTTCGCTTACTTCTGGTTCTTCTGCCCTTCTGTCGTCCTGCTTCGGCGTTTTGGTTTCTTTTGAAGGATTTCCATTTGGTAAATTCACAGGTACATTTGATGGTCTAATAACCAAACAACCTTCATCGTCTAAAGCATCTACTAATGTGTTTTTTTCTTCCTGTACAGCGCTCACAGGGACTCCCCAAACACTAACAAAATGAAAATTCGGTGTAGGCAAGAATTCACATATCTGTTCCATCATCTCGAAGCGTATATCTAATAGTGAACGTTCTTTGACTTTGTTCTCCAAGAAAAGGACTGCTATTGCTCTACCGGTCTCATCTTTAATAACAATATTCTCCATCGTAGTTGAAGTTTGTCTATCGTTTGTGTTTGGAAATAGCCAACGAATTAGAAACCTGTGAAACCGGCAGTGCTTCCATTTTCAAAATCAAAATTTCTCATTTTTGTCATCAAAATTTCTCTAAATTCCTTAGATTGTATACGTTATTTCCTTGAAAATTCCTTGAAATTTCATTAGGCGGTTTGCAGACCTTTGCAGTGCTTTTGTAGCAATACAAAGGATTTAATCAATTTTAAAGGCACAAAATAGCACAATTAACAAAGATAATTGCTAGCTAAAAAACCACAGGTTATTATACTGTTTAAAATTAAATATTTGTTCAGTGAGTTTACAACATATACCTTTCCATTGATATAAATAATTAATTCACAGCGTTTGGCGCCAAAAGATACCAAATCCTGTCGCTCAAAAACTTTCGGAAGTTTTCGGAAACACGAGGAAAAAGTTAAAATCAGATTTTTAATTGAACATAATTGATAATTCACTCAAAAATTCAAGAAATAGCGAAACATTCTTCTGCACTAATGCACTTGGATGAATATTTAAGTTGTTGGGAAAAAATCCTTAGATTTCCTTAGATTTTTTCTCTTCCTTAGATTTTCCTTTTCGACACTAGAATTTCTTTAGAAAAGGAAATTTCCTTGAAAATGGAAGCACTGGAAACCGGATTGTTTTATTTACGGTGCTTCCACATTACTTAAAGATAACCATGGCATAGAAGCGAGCGTGCAGGGAAAAACCGCCTGACGATTGTTTACCTAAGCGAACCAATTAGAACGCGAGCTAACAATAGAGATCAAAATGTTTTCGCAAATGAAACATGTCGATTTCATATCTTTATACTTTGTTATGACGAGCAAGCAAGCGGCGCCAAGGGCCCCTATAAGTTCAATATAAAATGAATTTTACGATTACCTGGCAAAAATTTCAGCCCGGGTTGAAATTTGCATCCCGGTTTATGTCACCCGGGATGAGATTTTCAGCCCTGTCAACCGGGATGATATATCCCATGTAATCGCAAATAATTTCAGCCTGGGCTATAAAACAATCGTTTAAATGGCTTTATTTTGCGTTTCGTCTCATCTTTAATCCTTTATATGCAACCACAGTCTTACACAAGTCAAATAGTCGACTAATCGGCGTTTTGAATGCTCAAACAAGCGGAATATTGCCTTTCGTGATACCGTATGATTTCAGCCCGGGATGACATTTCAGCCCGGGTTTGTTTACTACAAGGGATAAATATAGCTCTGACTAAACTTAGACTTGCAGGACTTGCCACAAGTCGACCATGGGGGAGGGAGGGCACGGGGGAGAGAGGGAGCGCGCGACCCGAGCGACGAGACATAGAGAGGTCTGGAAAGGACTTTGGAAAGCCTAACTAAAACTCAGCCCGGGTTCAAATTGCCCATGTAAATGTAATCGTGACGCTATTTCAGTTCGGTTAACAGGGCTGAAATTCAGCTCTTCATTAGCCTGCATGGCAGGCGGTATTTCTACGGGCAGCGAAAATTAGGGAAGCAAAGGAAATACCGTCTGCCGCAAAACTAGGGGTTTTTGAATTACCCGTCCGCTGGTGAACGGGAAAAACGGATTGGTTAGTATTTTTATTTAGTTGTCAATCAACGGCTAAATTCGGTTAAATGTTAATCATTAACCAAATGTTTTGACGTTTTGAAACTCTGCGTTTTGAAATTAGTTCACGTCAAGTCAGACCAGAAATGGAATAACACAATAAAAGAAGCAAATTAAAAGATACAAGCTGAAAAATAACACTCTAAATCGTGTTATTGATAGAGATTCGAACAAGAATATTTAACAAAGAAGATACGTCCGAAGGGGCCGAAGTTATATGATCGGCGAAAGGTATGGGCTAGTCTATATATTTTCGTTCAGACAATTACATGCGTCTTAATTTGATAATATACGATCTCGCTTGACTTTCAAAGGCCATAAATCGCAATAATGTTGACATTTTACTAAAACTATCGATAGAAATTAGGAGATATTTTTTCACTGAATCGAACAGTGGGATTTCCATATAGGCCTATCAGTCATGTTCTGAACCAAAGATACTTGATAGATATTATATACGAACCTCCAAAGTATAAACAAGGGGCCGGTTGATGCAGTAATTGTCAAATAACAGTTAAACTCTTATATACCCGTTGAATATGTATAGTTGTAAACAAATAAAAACTATCGTTCTATAAGGTTCA